GTTCACCCTCCAATGGCCGCCGCGGATGGCGCGCTGCAGCTGGCGCACCGCGCTGATCCGATGGCAGGAGCCAGGAGCCAGGTGCTTTTCCTGGTCTCCCATGGGGTGCAGGGCCCAAGCACCTGGGCCATCCTCCACTGCACTCCCTGGCCACAGCAGAGGGCTGGCCTGGAAGAGGGGCAACCGGGACAGAATCCGGTGCCCCGACCGGGACTAGAACCCGGTGTGCCGGCGCCGCTAGGCGGAGGATTAGCCTAGTGAGCCACGGCGCCGGCCCCGAACTTATCTTTTAACTCTGTTTCCACATACTCTTTGAAGTATTCATACGCTTTATCACTACTTGGGTGATATTTGTCTCCACCAATATTTTTATATCGTGTAGATGAGTATCATGAATTAAATTTCAACAACACAGTAAGAAAAACTTTTTACTCGCCTTGACAGAATTCTAACTTGCCACGTATTTTCACCATAGAAATCAAGTATATCTCAATTAAATGTAGTTGGTGCTTTTCCTCACATCCAGGAGTGTGAGTATAGAGGCCTTTAGCAGAATTGTTTTCATCTTTAACTGACTTTCCTTGTGCCCTCTTCATAGCCTATTCCCTGGTCATAAGAATTCTGTGACTTTGGATTATTTTAGTAGGGAAAAAGACAACAAATGGGATTAAAAAAACATGAACGGCATGGTTTTGGGTTTGTTTTATCAATGCCAAGCAGAAGAGGGATCTAAATGATGAGAATAAAAACATTTCTTCAGGGCAGGAGTGGTAACACAGCTGGCTGAGCCACCACTTGGGATGGCTGCATCTCATGTCAGTGCCTGCTTCAAGTCCCGCCTCTCCTGCCTCCGCTTCCAACCCAACTCCCTGGGATGGCAGTAGATGTGTCTGGGAGGCAATAGATGATGGCCAAGTACTCGGTTCCTGCCACCCCGTAGGAGACCTGGATGGAATTCCTGGCCCCTGGCTTCAGCCTGGCCCAGCCCTAGGTGTTTGGGGCATTTAGGGAGTGAACCAGCAGATGAAAGATTTATCTTTTTCTCTCCCTCTCTCTCTCTCTCTCTCTCCCTCAGCCTTTCATATACATTTTTAGAAAGAATATCTACAAATATGAACATCCCCAGCTATGACAGGAAATAATGGGAAAATCAGAATAAAAATTGTTTCTGGCTACTGTAATTTGTTGCATCCATAATGCGAGGGGTTTGTTACCACTGTAGTTTGGTGTTGCTGGGAATTCTTAGCTCTGCTTAATTTTTCTGCTTAGCCTGCAGGGGCATATTTAAGGAGACTGCATTTAACCTTGAAACTGTAGTCATATGGAAAATTCTGGAAGACTTTTAAAATTCATCTCTAGATATGCAATCTTAGGAGCTTCAGTTTGAAGAAGCACTTTTACGACATGCTTGGAAATATGCCAGTTGAACAAAGATCAAGGTGGAAGACTGGCAGAAGTCTACTGCTGTATTCTGTTTTTTTGTTTTTGTTTTTGTTTTTTTTTTTTTAATTTGAAAGGTGGATAGACAGAGCTCCCATCTGTTTGTTCACAATGGCTAAGACTAGGCCAAGCGAAAGCCAGGAGCCCAGAACTCAAGCCAAGTGCCCCATGAAGGTAGCAGGAACCCAGGTACTTGGTCCTAGGAGGTCTACACCAGCAAGAAGCCAGAATTGGAAGCTAGAACTGGGACCAAAGCCCAGGCACTCCAGTATGGGACACTAGTATCCCAACCACCAGGCCCAACACCCACCCTGCCACCACCTACCTTCTTTATTCCATAATGTCTTTAAAGAACTGGGGCGGGGATTGGTGTGGCACTTTCACATTCAAGGGTGAATTTTCACATTTTATTCGCATGGCGCAAACCTGAACTCCACAAACTCAGTATATACAGCACCAGCAGCCATTCCAAACGCACTCTTGGAAATGCTCCATGAGGCCTCCCAGAGTGTCCCAGAGGCTGGGAAGCAAGGGTCACAATCTGCATGACAGCCATCCTGGAGATTAGGGGTGGGGAGAGGCTGCCACCTCTCCTTTGTCATCACAGCTCAGAGTCACTTCTCTTTGATAGCCTGCAAAAAGAGACTCCCACCAGTTCTTTTGGAAGGCAGCCTTTAATCAAGCACTTCAGAAGTATTTTTTGTTAACCATCCCTCATTTTTTCCAACCTAAACTAGTTATTACCATATGAATAACTTCGCCCACCTACCTCTACCCTATGTGCATCCAAGTTTAAATTGGTTACTTCCTAAATTCTAACTATAGCCCCAGGCTTCATTGTCAGTTATTAGTTCCCTCCGGCCCTGCTCATCACGGCTGACTTGTTTCTGTCCCACACGCTCAGTACTCTCGTCTCCTGTCCAGAGGATGGACCATCTCTGAATCAAATTGCTGCAGTACACGTGGCACAGGGGACGTGCTTTCTCGCCCCTGGAAACCAGCCTGTGGGCCCAGCCAGACTGCAGCTGCCTTGTCGCTGCTGCAGAAGCCTCTCTGTCTTCATCAGAGACTCCTTCCCCATGAGCTGCTCAGGAACCGTCTGTCCTGCCCTGGAGCTCTCCACTCCACCAAATTCTGAGCCCCCAGCCACCCTGGAGGTTCCAAACAGAGCCTAGCTGCAAGGACGGGGCCCCGCCCTCCCTCCAGCTTCCCAGATGTCCCTTCCTGGGGCATTTCTAGCACTGCTGCTGCTGCTCCTTGGAGCCAGCTCCACACTCCTTCTTCATTCAGGTAGGGACACTGGCACCTGCCAAGGTTTCCAGTGCCTCTTCCAAAGAGATCACCAGCAGATCGGGGGTTGGGGGGAGTGGTCCTCGGGCTTCTCCGCGGCCCGTTCACATGACGGACAGAGCAGTCGCCGACACAGGCATGCATAGCCTTCCCACCTCGGAAATGACCGCAGCCCTGCCTGGTGAGGCCACCACCGCTTCCTGTCCCCTGAAAAACCATCGCTCACACTGCGGATCCATGCCTGACCAGTTCCGCTTGTGGTTCACCTGCCGTGGGGGCGGCTCTCGATGCAGCCCTGAGGCAGGTTTTGTGCCAAAGCAATGGTATGGGGATGGAAGCCGCGGGAATGCCACGCCCCTCACTGGACCCTCCTCGAAGGCTGTCTTTAGCCTCCCAAAAGGAAAGAGTTCATCTGGGACTTGGGCCCAGCGCTTCATTAAATGGCCGCCTTTGCTCCTGTAGAGGAGGAAGGGAGCTTCCTCCACTGTCTTGGAATCTGTGGAATGAGAGGCCCAGGACAGGTCACTAAGAAAAAGCACTCAGCTTGCACTTCCTAGTTCTTTGGGAGCCTTTGTAAGAAAAATGGAAACCAGAGCAGCATCCAGGCCTCAGAGCTGTGTACCTTTCTAATAACAAGGGTGAACTGTGGAAGAGGAAGAGTGGGGTAGAATCGGCGAAGCTTCTAGGGGCAGGACCGGGGCGGGGCAGTGATGAGGCAGTGTGTGTGTGGGGGGGGGGGGAGCAGGTGCACTGTTTAAGGAGACTTTAAACAGGTCCCTTTGGTGATAAGAACTCACTCTGTCCAAGTACTTGGGGACACCTGCAAAGGCATCAGCTCACAAGGACTGGCAGGTGAGGCAGCAGATGCGGGGTGGATACTCTGAGTCCCTCCACCTCTCCCATATGCCTGCTGAAGTGTTGCAGGAACCTGGAGATTCCGGGGGCACCCCCTCTGCTGTGCAGAAGGCCCGCAGGCCCAGGGCTAGGGGAGCGCACGGCTGCCTTCAGTCCCATGCGTAGGCAGGGTGGGTGGTCGGCTGCATCCCCCATCCCTGGTCTGTTCACACCAGCTGCCTGCACCCCTGGCTGTCTCCTCTTCTGTCCAGGAGCCTCTGCCGCCCCTCTCTCCCCAAAAGTGTCCTTTGCTCGCTAGTGAGCCAGTTCCTTGCGCTTCCATCTTGAAATCCTCCCTTGTGTCTGCTGTGGGCTGGGCCTTGCAGCCGTGGGATGGGCAAGACAGGCCATTCTTCATTCCACAATATTTTCTCGGGCCAGCGCTTGCACCAGGTGCCAGGACGTGACAGCCAACAGGACAAAGACCTGCCGTGTGGGCCTGGCTTTCTGGTGGAAGAGACAGAACATAATAGATCCACGAGCAGCCGTGCAACATGTCGGGGTGTGGTAGTGCTTTGTGGGACGACACAGCCAGGCTGGCACAGTGATTGCAGGGGCACCTGCTTGAGATAGGTGGGCAGGGAGGGCTTCCCAGGAGGCCAGGTGCAATGTCCACCTCAGTGGAGAGGGGAGGGAGAGCCTTGCCTGCAGCCTCTGAGTGGGAAGAGAGCCCTGTGTCAGTTCATTTGCGGCTGCCACTCAGCTTGCTTCTCCCACCTTTGATTTTGTGACACAGATCAGATTGCTGGGATCAGACGTAACCCTGATGACCTCATCAAGTGTGAGAACATGCACACTCACATAGCTATACACATACAATCACACACAGTCGCACTCACACACATGCATGCACACTTGCACATACAACACACACACATTACCCACAGTCCTACAGACAGCCAGATGCACTGCCACACAGCTACACTCACTTGCAGCCAGATGCTCACACAGTCACACACACTCGCACACAGTCATACACACACCCAGTCATATAGAACACAACTTTGGCTCAAGGCCCATTTGTCACTTCCTTGTTGAATTTGCATCACAACGCCTTCTTGTACTAGAGTAGCCTTGGAAGGGAGGCCTCTAGCCCCCTCCCCAATTTCTCAGCAACCCCCAACCCCAAGCCCATGGGAGTGGGCAAGAGGGAAGGCACATGCGAAATAGATGTCTGCATGGATACACATGTCTGTACAGAGGTGCAGTCCATTTGGCCTCAGTTGGCAGTGATGTGCCACCCAGACAGATGCTTACCCAGGAGAGAAGGGAAGCCCCCAGTCTCCACTGCGCTTAGGTGAATGGTGCATCAGCTACCCCACCTGGGAGAAAGGGATCACAAACCCCATCTGAACTTATGCTGGCTTTTTCCGCAGCTTCCTGGAACGGATCGACAGCGTCAGCCTGGTTGACTACACGCCCACAGACCAGGTAGGAGACGTCAGAGCCTGCCTCACTCCTTGGAAACTTTGCAGATTGACTTCCGGGTTTTTTTGTTTGGTTTTTTTTTTTTTTTTTTTTTGGCGATTATTAAAAATCCTGGAAGTGACTACTTCTTGCCAATCACTGCTGTGCCCCGCCAGTGTCCATGGTGTGTTAGCTCCTTAGTGGTGCCCCCACCACTAAGCCTGTGGCTCGCTAGCCTGGAGATCCTTCATCTGCAGATTGGGAATGCTCAGCGCCTGTGTCGACTTGGAAAGCTAAACCTTCCCTCCCCAGCTGCACAAATGGCACCCGTTCTGCTTCTGACCCTGGTGCAGGGCTGCACATAACGCAAGCCACTTTCTGGGTTGCTCCAGAGTGACTCCTTGGGGCTGAGCCACTGCAGAGCACCCAGCTGCACATTTGTAAGGAGTAGAGAGGGACTCTGTGCCCTTTTGACCCAAGGGCATCTGCAAACACTTGGAGAGCCCTGGGCTGCTGAGCTCAGGATTCCCCGGCTGCTTGTAGGGCTAGCAAACCCCACACAGCCCTGGTGGAAGATGATGTGACAGCCGCGGGGACCTGCTAGTCTGGAATCAGTCCCTCAGGGCTGTCCCTTATTATGTTGAAACAACAGGACCACCTCTTGCCTTCCAGAATTGTAACAGAGTGGCTGCCTGACAGATACCAGAGAGGATTTGGTGGCCAGGAAAAGACCTGGACATGTACCGAGGTGTCAGCTTTGTGCCTTTCTCATCCCCTTGGGAACATAACACCCTTAATCTTAGAGAAAACAGCAATAGTCAGAGAAGAGGGGGTAAACCTAAGATCCAGTACATTTAGTCCGTGAGAGCAGTTTGATTAATGAATGCACAGTCACACTCGCCCTGGGCTCGCCCTGTGTCCCAGCAGGAGGCTCCCAGTTGTGGCAACAGAACTTGGCAGGTTTTCTCCCAGGAGTACTAAGCGCTGTGGTTTGGTTGTCAGGCGGCTGACAGTCAGCAGGTGCATTCATTAATAGTAGTAATGGTAATGATAATGAGGGTCTAAAGGAAAATAAAAGCATAGTTACCAAGTCTCTGAGGACCAAGCCAACACATCAGGATTTCCCTGGTGGATGAGACAGCATTCACTTGAGTTTTTAATTCCTATTGTTTGTTTTTTCTTACAATGGGAGAAGTGGTCATTTGAAACCTGCGAAGCTCATGGCTTCCCAGGAGAAATGACAAGTACCTAACTCTGCTTCCTTCCCTGGCCCCCAGGACCTCCTCAGATGCAGGGTTCTGACCTCGGGGATTTTCGAGACACGATTCCAAGTGGACAAAGTGAACTTCCAGTGAGTATGAGCTCGAGACTGTGGCCTGCTGCAGGAATGCTGGGCGTGGAGCCCCAGGACCCAGCCCAGAGCCCGCCCTCATGGCCTTGGGGTGCCAGGGGCTCAGCCTCAGAGAGGGCAGCCCTGTCCCCTCAGGGGAGGTGACCAAGGCTTGAAAGGCTGGGTTTTACGACTCACTTAACAGTAGAAACGACAGGGCCTGAAAGGAAACCCGTGTTTCCACGCTAGCTGTTGATGTCGTTGCCCCACCCCTTTTAAATAATTTTTAAATTTTTTAAAAGATTTATTTATTTATTTGAAAGACAGTTACAGAGAGAGGGAGAGACAGAGAGAGAAGTCCTCCATCTGATGGCTCACTCCCCAAATGGACACAACAGCCGGAACTGAGCCGATCTGAAGCCAGGAGCTTCTTTGGGGTCTCCCATGAGGGTGCAGGGGCTCAAGGACTTGGGCCATCCTTCGCTGCTTTCCCAGGCTCATTAGCAAAGGAGGTGGATCAAAAGTGGAGCAGGTGGGACTTGAACTGGCACCCAATTGGGATGCCAGTGCTACAAACCAGGTCTTTAACCCGTTGGTGCCACAGCACCAGCCCTTTGTTGGCCTTTTTAAAAAGTCATTTGAGAGAGACACTGATATGCCACCTCCTGGCTCACCCCTCCAAAAGTCCACAGCAGCAGGGGCTGAGCCAGGGCCAAAGCTGAGAGGCAGGAACACAGTTCAGGTCTCCCAAACGGGCAGTAAGGATCGAACTACTTCAGCCATCACTGCTGCCTTCCAGGTCTACATGAGCTCCTGAAGCTGGAGTTAGGAGCCAGAGCTGAAGAACGAACCCAGGCACTCCAGGGCTGGGCGTGGGCAGCCTAGCTGCTAGCCAAACACCTGCCCTGTGATGACTGGTCCTTTTATTAGAGCAGAGGCCTCTCCAAATGAGCTCGCCCAGCGTCTGGCCTTCAAGGTTCACGGTCACAGCTTGAGAACGGGAGGCACGATTTCTTCCTGTCTGCCGAGGGCTCTCCTGGGCTCCCCAAGCCGCAGCATCACTGAATAACCCTTCTCCTTCGTTTTTCTCCTCAGTGACATTAATTCTCCCCTATAAAGGCTTGTGAATTGAGGGCTTGTTTCTCATTTCTCTCCCAAAGCTGTGACCCGTGCCCTCCATTCCTGCCCACCCACACTGTCCTAGCAGTGTGCTGGAGGGTCTCCCGTGGCCTGTTTGCTCATTCCACTCTGGCCCACTCACTGCCGTGAAATGAGCTCTCGCACAGCATAGCTCCCTCTGCTGAGGGAGGCTCAGCAGCCCACAGCTGCCTCTGCTCCCTAAAACCCAGACCCTGCCCAACTCAATATGACCTGGCCTCTCCTCTCTGCTTCCTGCTCCCTGCCGCTGCCTGCCTCGCCAGGTTGGACTTAGTGAGCTCGAAGCTGTGTGGTCCTGCCTTCCCCAGTGCCTTTGCTCATCCCATCCTCTGAGCTCCAGGTGCCACCAGAGATAAGCAGAGCTGCAGATCTGTCAGAGCTTCTCAGCTCAGGATTTCTGTGGCACCTGGTGGATTCTGTGGCACAGCCATGAGTCTCTACACCACACAGTGCACTACCAAGCTGGTGTGGATGATTGCTTTGCACATATCAAAACCAAGTCCCGGGCACAGTGGAATTTTTGCCAATCAAGTCTTACCCTACAGTCATGCTTCTGTTTAAAAGTATTCACTGAGATGGGCATGGATCCTTGGCGGTTGCAATGCCAATTAGGACACCTGCATCCCACACCAGAATACCTGGGTGTGACTCCCAGCTCCAGCTCCTGACTCCAGCTTCCTGCTAATGCAGACCCTGGGAGGCAGTGGTGATGGCTCAAGTGACTCAGTTCCTGGCACCCACATGGGAGACCTGGATTGAGTCCCCAGCTCCCAGATTCTGCCACCAGCTATTGCCAGCATTTGGGGAGTGAACTAGTGGATGGGAACACTCTTTCTCTCTGCCACTTGAATAACTGAATAAGAAATGTTTTCAAAGTATTCACTAATCACCACAGATGTTGCATCAAGCGCCTGGCAGAGCCCTCCATGCTCTCATGCAAAGCATACAGACAAGCAAATAGAGGCTGTGGGGGTCTGTGAACTGCACGCATGCAAGTCTGAGCAGGGAGGGAGCTCAGAGCCAGATGTGCCTAGGAAGGGTTGGGGGAGTATGGATAGGTGCAGAGAAACTCCCCCAGGGACAGCAGCCCAGGAAGCGGTGCAGGCAGCTATGAAAAGAGGGTCTGGAGCCAGCCTGATGAGTGAGAGAAACCCAGAGGAAAACGGTGTGGCCACCATGGCTGGGCAAGACTGGGAGAGCCCCGGGCTAGAGCCCAGAGGTCTGCCCCAAATTGGGAAGGCGAGAGAACCCCCCTGCAGCTCTCTGGGCAGAGGTGGGTGGTACCCAAGAGGTAGATGCAGACGGGTCCCCAGGAAGCCTTGCTCAGTGCTGCAGGCGACAAGGTGCGCAGGTGAGTGGAGGTCAGACACAGGGTCCTGAGAGTGGGGACAAGTCACAGCATCTGCCCCTGACAGGGACTTGCCTTGCATTAATAGAGGCCCCAGTGTCTGAGCCACAGGTGATATCAAGTGGAAATTGGTGCATTTATTACGCACCCTGTGTGTCTCAGATTCTGTGCCAGCCACTCTCACCCCTGGACCCTGTAGGATGACAGAGAAGGGGCTAAGACTGCAGAACCTGCAACCAAAGATCTTGCAGCCAGAGCCAGAGCCCTCTAAGAGCCAAGGAGGAAAGCAAAACCATGTGCTGTGGGCTCTCAGGTCCCCCAAGTAATTGTCTTCCTCTCGCTCTTTCACAGTATGTTCGATGTTGGTGGCCAGCGGGATGAGAGAAGAAAATGGATCCAGTGCTTCAATGGTGATCTGATGCCCTTGGGACAATGGGGGTGAACGCTAGCACTCACATTGCCCCTGGGTCTGCCCAGCTTTGAACTTGGCCATCTCTAGCCCAGCTAGCCCGTGAAGTAGAGCAACTGTGCTCCTTCTGTAATTTGTTGTGTCCCATCATCTCAGGTATAGGACACTCATAAAACTTACACTGAGCAGTAAGTATGTCATTTATAGCAACTTTGCGCCCATCTCAGTTATACCAAAACAGTCACAGAACTGAAAACTTAGGTCTTGACCGATTAATATGAATCTCATGAATAAAGAATGTCAGCATCCCAAATGCACAGTTGTCTTGGGGGCTCCTCGCTGTGTAGACAACCAAAGGTACAGGCCACATCCACGTCACCCCAGCAGGTCACGGCAGGATGTCGTCGAGTGGCCCTGGGCCGCTGTCGGCTCTGTGCTTGGCCTTCACCCCACAGTGGCCACCTCTGTCTAACTGGGGTGCTTCCTCTCTCCTCCCCTCCCCTGCTCAGACGTCACCGCCATCATCTACGTGGCTGCCTGCAGCAGCTACAACATGGTGATCCGTGAAGACAACAACACCAACAGGCTGAGGGAGTCCCTGGACCTCTTCGAGAGCATCTGGAACAACAGGTCACAAAGCTCACCCCGGGCTTGCAGGGCTCCTTTTGTTGAAGAGGGGTTCACTCCGTGTTTACTGTCCTCACTGACCAATTCGCCCATCCAGCATCGAGACATCCATCACATGGGGATTCCTCCTCTGTGAAGTCTGATAGGCTCTGGGTTCGAAATTTAAATCTGTTTTGAAAGCCTACAACTATATCTCGGGTCCAAAATTGTTTTTGTTTGTTTCCAAGGCTTAGTTTAGAGCGTCCACTGATACTTAGTTGACCCCTAGGAGTCCCTTACAGGGCAAGCGTTTGGGGCATCCGTTAAGGAGCTGCTTGGCGTGCCTGATCCCGTGTTGGGGTGCTGGGTTTGAGTCCCAGCTCCACTGCAAATTCCAGCTTCCTGCTAATGCACACCCTGGGAGGCAGCAGGTGATGGTTCGGGCAGTTGGGTCCCTACCACCACATGGGAGACCTGGACTGAGTGTCAGGCACCTGGCTTCAGCCTGGCCCAGCTCTAGTGTTGCAGGCATTTCAGATGAGCCAGCAGATGGGAGCTTGCTCGCTCTTTCTCTCTCTCCCTCAAAATAAATAAACATTTTTTAAAGATTTATTTATTTGAAAGTTCCTGAGAGAGAAGGAGAAATGTTCGTTCTGCTGGTTCACTCCCCAGATGGCCACAATGGCCCAAGCAGGAGCCAGGACGCCATCCAAGTGTCCCACGTGGGTGGCAGGTTTCCAGGTGTTTGAGTCGTCTTCCGCTGCCTTCCCAGGTGCATTAGCAGGAAGCTGGATCAGCAGTGGAGCAGCTGGGACTCAGACCAGCACTCATATGGGATGCCAGTGTCACAGGCAGCAGTTTAACTGCACCACAGTGCTGGCCCCTTAATAATTAAAAAAAAAATTCCTTGAACAAAAATCCAAGCGTAATCATGTTTGGAACTGCTGGTATTAAGTGATGAAAGTGGTTATTTTCAGAAAGAAACATCTAACAACTAACTACATGCAATACACACAAACACCATGTATCTTTTGAAGCATTTAGGAAGAAATATACCCAAAGAAGACAGGAAATAGAGGCTAAATGTTAGACCTGTTCAAAGAACCAAGCCAGCCAGGAATGCAGCTCTAGGCCTTTAGCTAAGGACTCCTGCGTTTTGTTGTTGTTGTTGTTGCTATGCTGTTTTTAATACTTCCACTTCTAGCATTAGAAGTCCTGTGGCCCCTTATTATTAAATTACACCCCACACATCCAAGTGTAAAAGGGAGGGCATTTGGCCCAGCCCTTAAAACACCAGTTAGAATGTCTACATCCCATATTGGAGTCTGGGCTTGAGTCCTGACTCCACTCAAAAAAAAAAAAGTTTACATGTTTATTTGTAAACCAAAGTGGGTGAGAGAGAGAAAGAGAGATGTTCCATCTGCTGGTTCACTCCCCAAATGGCCATGATGACCAGCTGGGCCAGGCCAAAGCCAGGAGCAGGAACTCTCTCTGAGACTCCCACGTGGGTGGCAGGGACCCAAGCATTTGCGCCATCTTCTGCTGCTCTCCCAGGTACATTAGCAGGGAGCCAGATGAGCAGCAGAGCAGGCAGGACTTGAACCAGAACTTCAGTATGGGACACAGGCATGGCCAGTGATGGTGTGCCCCATGGCTGTGCCCCATGGCTGAACTTTTTGGTTTTCTTTCTTTGTTTGTTTGTTTTTATATTTCTTTGAAAGGCAGAGTTACAGAGAAAGAGAGAGAGAGGGAGAGAGAGAGAGAAAGCAAAATCTTCCATCCATTCGTTCACTCCCCAAATGGCTGCAACAGCCGGAGCTGGGCCGATCTGAAGCCAAGAGCCAGCAGCCTCTCTGGGTCTCCCATATGGGTGCCGGGGCCCAAGCACTTAGGCCATCTTCCACTGCTTTCCTAGGTGTATTAGCAGGGAGTTGGATTGGTGGTGGAGCAGCTGGGACTTGAACCGGTGCCCATTTGGGATTTACCAGCTACACCACAGTGCCAGCCCCATGGCTCTACTTCTGATTCCAACTTCCTGATAATGCACACCCTGGGAGGTATCAGATGAGTCCCTGCTACCATATGAGAGACCTGGATTGAGTTCCAGCCTCCCTGCTCTGTTTCTAGCTGTTGAGAGCACTGGAGAAGTGAACCAACAGATGGAAGTTCTTGTATACATAATTTAAAAACTTTTTAGTACAAGTATATTATTCCATAACCATATCTTATCGTTGGAACCAATAAATGTATTTCCCCGATGGAAATGAGTTAGACAATGCCCAAGAGCCCCAGGAACTTCCTGCACTTGCTTTTCGTTGCTTACAGATGGAATGGGGATGCAGGTCGCCACCCACTGCTAAGTCCTGTACATTTCCAGGAGGACAACAACGTTTCCTTGTAATTTAGCACCTTCTATATTAGAGGCACTTTCAGATATGGGCATGTGTGAAATGTGTGGGTTTTTTCTCCTTTTTTAGATGGTTACGGACCATTTCTATCATCCTGTTCTTGAACAAACAAGATATGCTGGCAGAAAAAGTCTTGGCAGGGAAATCAAAAATCGAAGACTATTTCCCAGAGTACGCAAACTACACTGTTCCTGAAGATGGTGAGTTGTCAGAACACTGTTCCTGGGGTAGAGGAGTAGAAGTGTTCCTAATAGATCTGTAACTATACTCCACATACTTCTGATGAATCAAAGACACACCTTTAGTTTAAATCAGTCCTCCCTCCTACTGCCCCAGTGTAAAGTGCCAGAGTCCTGGATGGGTGTCCCTTTTCTGAAATGCTTTAGGGACAGAAATGGTTTTGCTTTCAGAATTTTTTCGGATCTTGCAATAGTGACATACACATAAAGTGCCATCTTGAGGATGGGGCCTAAGCATAAAATTCATTTCTGTGTCGTATACACCTGTGCATACAGGTGATTTTGTACAATGCTGTTTGTGCACCTGCGTTTTGATTGTGAGGTCAGGTGTAGAATTTTCCACCTGTGCTGTCACGTAAGAGCTCAAAAAGTTTTGGATTCTGGAGCGTTTCAGAGTTGGGGTTTTTGTAATTCTGAGGCTCTACCTATTTGGGGTCCCACTTGTAAATGTTTTGTAATCTGACTTTCCCCTCAAACTGCAACAGAAGGGTGGGCTGTTGGGGGTTTGACTGTCATCTGCCTGGGCGAGTTCTCCACCGTGCTGCCTCCGATAGGGTCTGCTGTGATGAGCCCTTGTTGGCCCTTTGCAGGGACTGTCCCACCCTCACAGCCCCTCCACTGGGAAGTGAAGCTGAAGCAGGTAATAGCTTGATCGAGGCCCCACAACCAGTGTCTGCATCCTGTGTCTCTGAGCACGTGCCTTTGGCCCCTGAGCCTGCACACTTGTGCCCCCAGCGCTGTCTGTGGCTGCAGCACTGGAGATTTGCTCCGGGGTGACCAGCCATCCCTGCCACCTGAGGCTGAGAGCTGCAGTGCTAAAGCCAGGAAAGGTAAACAGGGGGAAGTATTTTAGTCTCTGCTGTTCACCAAATCCAGAGTCGTGTAGATGCTATGCTTTGTTCCAGGCAAAATATCATTCTGGGGTGAGCATTTGGCTCAGTGATTGAGACACCACTGGCAATGCCCACATCCCATCTCAGAGAGCCTGGCTTGAGTTCCAGCCTGCTCTGATCCAGCTCCCTGCTAATGCACACCCTAGAGGGCAGCAGGTCATGGCTCAAGTACTTGGGAGACTCAGATTGGCTAAGGGCTCCTGGCTTTGGTCTATCAGCCCTGGCTTTGAGGGCATTTGGGGAGTGAACCAACCAGCAGATGGAAGTGCTCGCTCACTCTCTCTCTCTCTCTCTCTCTGCCTTTGCAGCAAGAGTAAAAGTAAATCAGTACAAATTAAGGAAAAAAAAATCACTTCTTGAAATTTGAATCCCAAATTAGATAAAGTAGAATTAAAGAGACTTTCCTATAAACTATAGTTGAGATTGGGGATTATTTTTGTATGTAGTGAGAAAGGGAGAGACAACTTGCATGAATAATTAAGCCCTTTTACTCCTCATGTTCAATTTTCCTTTCTCCATAACAGCAGAGGCCTTCTGCAAGTAGACACGTAGAATCTGGAGCCACTCTGGACTTCTGCTAGATACTTTGTTTTTTGTTTTTTTGTTTTTTAATTAATTTATTTATTTGAAAGTCAGAGTTAAACAGAGAGAGAAGAAGAAGCAGAGAGAGAGGTCTCCCATCCACTAGTTCACTCCCCAATTGGCTGCAACGGCCAGAGCTCTGCTGATCCAAAGCCAGAAGCCAGGAGCTTCTTCCAGGTCTCCCATGTGGGTGCAGGGGCCCAAGGACTTGGGCCATCTTCTATGCTTTCCCAGGCTATAGCAAAGAGCTGGATGGGAAATGGAGCAGCCGGGACTCGAACCAGCAGGCGGCAGCTTTACAGGCTACGCCACAGTGCTGGCCCCAGATACTTTGTTTTAAAATAAACAGACGTTGGAAATGGGTCTGTGCACTTGCCCCTCGCCTGTTCTCATCAGACCCACATCTACCAGAGTGCTCAGAGCATCAGCCAGCACAGGCTCAAAATCCAGCCCCTTCCCAGGGTCCGATCACACGTGAATCTCACTGAAATTCGTCATTCCTTCACACCAACCTCACAGCACTTGACAAGCCTCCCGAGGCCGAGGTGGGAGCAGCTTGCCTGAGAGGAATGATCAGGGCCAGGCCCTTGCCGCCCCTCTTTCCCCAGCAGGCCCTTACTACCTCCCCTCACCCCAGTCCACGCAGTCGCTTAGGTCCACCCGTCCAGCATCTTCCTCCTTTCTCCCTCTCACAGCTTTTAGCCCAAGCCCTCATTCCCCTGTCTCAGCAGCTGCCCCAGCTTCCTTCCTGGCCTCCCTGTCACTCGCCTTTCCAGAACATTCTCTGAACTTCTGCCACATCATCATTCCGAAACACAACCATTCCACACTAGGCTCTAACGGGCGATACCGCCACCACTGGCCTGATAGAAGCTGAAGCCCGCGGCCCCAGCCAGGGATGTTAAAAGGCCCCAGCCCTGTGGCTCAGGGAAGCACAGCTGCTGGCCACGCAGCAGTCCTGTCACTGATGCCCACTTGAGTAGCAGGAGCCACGCCCCTCTTTGCCCTCTCCTCCCAAGGGAGCCCAGCTCCTTGTTTCTCAGCACTAAAAGGCAAGGAGGAAACTCATAGGCTCAGTGAAAGAATCTAAGTAAAAAGACTGCCTGCTGTGTGAAGCCATTTGTCTAAAAGCCTAGAAAATGCAGACACAATGTCCACAGTGACAGAGAACACATCCGTGGGTTGCCAGAGGAGCAGGGGTACCTGTGGAGGTGCCAGATGCATTGTTTTCAGTGCATTGGTGGTTTCTTGAGTGGATGCACATGTCAAAATTCATCAGACGGTGCATTTAAAACATGAGGAACTTAGAAAAGTTCATAGAAGATGGAATTGAAAGGATATTTATATTGGTGCAAAAAAATGGTTTTTTCCCTCTTTTATTTATCTGACAGACAGACATGGAGATAAAGAGCTTCCATCTGCTGGTTCACTCCCCAGATGCCTGCAGTGGCTGAGGCAGGGCCAAGGCCAAAGCTGGGAGCTGGTAACTCAGTCTAGGTCTCCCACATGGGTGTCACCTTGAGCCATCACCACTTCACAGCGTCTGCATTAGCAGGAAGCTGGACACAGGAGCAGGAGCCAGAAATCAGATCCATGGGCATCTTAACCACTAGGCAAAACACCACTTCTTAAAGTACTAAAAAAATGCTGAAATGGTGTATATGAGGGGTCTTCAAAAAATCCATCAGAAATGAAAATTATGAAAAAGCTGTGCATAGATTTTAAGATGTTTTGTACCAAAGTCAGCACCTTTTAATCCTGTTGTTTCCACAAGCTTTTCTGAGGTTTCCTTATATCTTTTCATTCCTTTGCCACAGACTTTTGGAAGTACCTCACATGTGCAGCTTAGTGTATTTCAGCCACCCCTCGGGAAAGGCCAGTGCCCAGGTCCCACCCAGAGGGGATCCATGCGACTCCAGAGGTGGGGACCTTCCCAAGCTCCCAGTGGCCCCAGCACCCACCCCAGGCTGAGCACCATCGTGGGTGCCATGCCCCCTCTCTGCCTCTGCTTTCCCTCTGCCATCTCCAGGCCTGCCCCGGTACCTGCCTCCTGGCCCAACATCGTAGGTCTCCCAAGGTCAAGCTTCACTGCGCCCCCAGCTGCCCATCCTGTACTCCCAGGAGCATGACAGTGTCCCCACAGACCCTGTCCCCGAGGAGACAGAGTGATGGGCTGCTAGAGCATGGGGTTATCCCATGAACTTGACCCTGCAAGGGAGGGCCTGGAGACAGAATGGTCCACAGCAGATTGGTTTCTACTGGGGCTCCAAATATGGAGTCTGCAGCAGGCGCAGAGAGGGGAGGTCCTTCTAGCAGCCAAGCTGAGGGGAACTTGACACTCTGCCCACTTGGACCCAGCCTCCTGTCCTCCAGAGCTGGGTCCATGTTTAATGAGAAGTTGTTCTCCTCTAACCTCTTTCTTCGTTCCAGTTGCTATAACAAAATGCCTTAAGACTGGGTCATTTTAAAAAAAAAAGATTTTATTTTATTTCAGAGGCAGAGTTACAAAGAGAGAGAGAGACAGAGAGAAAGTTCTTCCAACTGCTGGTTCACTCCCCAAATACCGCAACAGGTAGAGCTGAGCTGATCTGAAGCCAGGAGCCAGGAGCCTTTTCCAGGTCTCTCACGCAGTGCAGAGGCCCAAGAACTTGGGCCATCTTCCACTGCTCTCTCAAGCCATAGCAGTGAGTTGGATCAGAAGTGGAGCAGTGGGGACTCAAACTGGTGCCCGTATAGGATGCTGGTGCCGCAGGCTGAGGCTTAGCTCACTATGCCACAGCGCCAGCTCCAAGACCGACCAGGTCATTTACAAACAATAGAAATGTGTTGCTCACCATCTGGAGGCTGCCAAGTCCAAGATCAAGATGCCACAGACGTGGTGCCTGGTGAGGGCCTGACCCCTGCTGTGTCGATGGCCTTGTCTGACTTGTTCTCACGTGGCAGAGGGACAGACACACTCCCCCAGGGCCTATTTTGTAAGGACACTGTTACAGTTGAAATAAGACTTGGCTCCTGGCACTGGCACTGGCACTGTGGCGAAGCAGGTTAAAGCCCTGGCCTGCAGCACCACAGCACCATTCTATATGGGTGTCGGTTCAAGTCCTGGCTGTTCTACTTCCTATCCAGCCCCCTGCTGATGGCCTGGGAAAGCAGTGGGAGATGGCCCAAGTCCTTGGGCCCCTGCACCCACATGGGAGATCTAGAAGAAGCTCCTGGCTCCTGGCTTCGGATCAGCTCGGCTCCAGCCATTGTGGCCATTTGGGGAGTGAACCAGAGGATGGAAGACCTCTCTCTCTCTGTCTCTACCTCTCTATAACTCTGTCTTCAAATAAATAAAATAAATCTTAAAAAAAAAAAAGATGCTTAAACTCCAAAGTCATGGACCAATGGTGCCAACAGGTAGAAGCTTGATCCAGTTAGAGTGTCTGGGTCACTGGGGTTTGCCCTTGGAAGGTGGCTTCTCAATCTGCTTCCCAGCTCAGTGCAGGGTCTTCCTCTGCCCCCACCAGCCCCCATCCCGGCAGACCCCATACTGATGGGGCCGTCTGGCCTTGGACTGTGAACCTGCAGAGCATGAGCCACGATAGGACTTCATCCTTCATCAGTAGCTTCTCTGAGCTGCATAACTCGGGCCCTAAATGATCCACGAAGCAGAGCCCTGGTGACCTAATGGCTCCCTAAGACCCCGCCCCTCAGGGCTATTGCACTGGGAAGTTAGGTTTCAGTACAGGAACTGTGGGGTAACAAGCATTCACCCCTCCCCCCACAGCGCTCCAAGGAAAAGTTCCATCAGCGCTGTAATGGTTGCCAGAGAGGGAGGAAATGTGCTGGACGTAGTCAGCAGTCCAACTCTGTGATCCCTCTGTGTTTCTCTGGGGATGTAGCTCTGTGCATGTCACTGACAAAAACATTTGTGATTTCCACAGCAACACCAGATGCGGGAGAAGACCCCAAAGTGACCCGAGCCAAGTTCTTTATCCGGGATCTCTTTTTGGTAAGTAATTCTGTTAACCTTGGGTTTCCTCCCACGTTGAGTACCTAGCCTTTCATGATTGTCTTTAATCTTCCTCGGAACCGTGGCGGGGGAGAGAAGGGATGGTGCCTGCATTTCACAGCTGAGCCCCTAGAATTCAGAGAGCTCAGACCTCTCTCACACAAGGTCCCACAGCTCCCACGCAGCAGCACCTGCGTGGACCCACAGCCCTCTGGAAAACAGCACTTGGAGGAACAGACTTTGTCCCTTGGCTGTGTTTTCTGTGATGAGTACATAGCCTTCCTGCTCCATCCGAAGGCCCTACAGGCTAAAGGCAAAGGTTTGGAAAGGGGTCTCCTCAACTGCAGACATTTCCCCTTTTTTTCCAGATTTTTATTTCGAGATCATTGCAAAGCTGACACCTGGGATAATTTCGCTTCGTTTTATCTGTTGGTCTACCTATACATATTTTCTTTTCTTCTGAGCAGCCTCTCGGTCATGGCTGGCTAGGAGCTTGTTTGTTTGTTTTAAAGATTTATTTTATTTATTTGAAAGAGTTACAGAGAGGTAGAGACAGAGAGAGGGTTCCTTCATCTGCTGGCTCACTCCCCAAATGACCGCAATGGCCAGAGCTGAGTCGATCTGAAACCAGGAACCAGGAGCTTCTTCCAGGTCTCCCACATGGGTGCAGGGGCCTAAGGACTTGGACCGTCTTCTACTGCTTTCCCAGGCCACAGCAGAGAGCTGGATCGGAAGTAGAGCAGCCAGGACTCGAATCAGCTCCCATATGGGATGCCGGCACTGCAGGCCAGGGTTTTAACCTGCTGCGCCATAGCGCCAACTCCACTAGGAGTTCTTACCAGCTTGAAACTGGTAAGTGCCAAGGCACTCCCAAGGGCACGTCCCCAGGTGTGGACAGGCTGCTGATACCCGGAAGTGGTGAGCTCAGCCCCGGCTGCCCCAGGGACAGCCCCCAGGCTGGTAGTCTTGTCATGGGGGGCAGACCCTCCTGTCCGGCCTTTCTCTACTTCTTCCCATCACAACCCTATAGTGGTCGCTGAGTCCTCTGTTGAGCTAGAAGGAAATAATGAGCAGTCCGAGCCCTGGAGGGCATTTGGAGGGACGAGGGGCCACACGGGGGAAACTGCTGCAGCTGGACACACGTCGGGCATGCGGTGATGTGGTCGGATCCTCCGAGCTGGCTCTGTACTAGCAAGCACTGTGAAAACTCTCCAATAAGGAACGTAGCTTGTAGAAGATAACACGACCTTTTTTTTTGAAGAGCACCTTGGAGGACCATAAAACCAGAAAGACACATAAACAGTATTCCATGGTAGGCCTTCCTAATGAGAACCACAAATTGCCCAAGACCGAGAGTCAAGCGTTTGGAAGGAGGCTGGGAACAGACGTTTCCTAAATAAATTCAGAGCCTCGACAGACCTCTTCTTATTCCCCACCAGCAGACCAAACCTGGCTTGGAAATGCACTCTGCCAAGCAGGGAGTCTGAGGCATGGGCCTCACAGTTCTACAACTCGCACTCTGCGTTGCAGAATTCGCCCAGGGTGCAGAGAGCCCGAGAGGGTCTGAGCTGCAACCTGCAGCTGCAGGCCCAGGCGCATGGGGAAGCTGCCAGCTGCACCTGTTTATTTGTATTTGAGCTGCATGGGAGCAAACCTGGGATGAAACCGTGACTTGGGTGGACCCAGCCATCTTCAAACCCTCGAAAGCAAAGACGGTGATGTCGCCAGGCACGTGGCATTCCTGAGACGCCTTCATCTCGGGGTGGGGGGGCCATCTGCTGAGTAGTTCACGAGCTCCCCTGGGATGTTACCACCTGGGGGAGGGCCTCAGGGAGTTGGGCAGCAGCCAGGGGGCACAGCCCTGGAGCAGAGTCTGGGACGACCCAGTTTTCCTTATCACTGTTCATGAAAATCCAGGGCCGCAGCAGGTGTGCAGAGAGATGAACCGCCGTGTGCGAACTGCAGCGGCCTTGTCATGCCTCCATTCCCACAATGTCTGTTGCCCCAGGCAGGGACAAAGAAGTCCGATTATGACAGAGGAGAGCCTATTTCTCACTCAATTAACTACCCACTCACTGTGTGTGTGCCCAATACCTCACCTGGGGCTCAGGATTGAGAAGATTTATAACCTGCTCCTGTCAGGGTTTGTAAGTTTAAAATGTTTTCAAGTGCTAAGAGAACTCCAGGCCGGTGCCACGGCTCACTAGGCTAATCTTCCGCCTGGGGGGCCGGTACTCCGGGTTCTAGTCCCAGTTGGGGCACCGGTTCTGTCCTAGTTGCTCCTCTTCCAGTCAGCTCTCTGCTTGGCCCGGGAAGGCAGTGGAGGATGGCCCAAGTGCTTGGGCCCTGCACCCGCATGGGAGACCGGGGCGGGGTTGGGAGCACCTGGCTCCTGGCTTCTGGCTTCATGATCGGCACAGTGAGCCGGCCATGGCAGCCATTTGGGGGGTGAACCAACGGAAGGAAGACCTTTCTCTCTGTCTCTCTCACTGTCTAACTCTACCTGTCAAAAAAATAGAGAACTCCAGCTGCTGTGCAAAATCAGCTGGAGCCTCTAAGAAGCCTTTGATGAACATCTCGCAAGGTCCTGTCCCTGTCCCAGCACTTCTGCACAGATGCTTTCCCAGGAGGCTTCGCAGGAACGGAACGTCCCAGGCGTCCTGTGGCTGCTCTGAGGAAGGCTCCCAGGGCCTCGGAGTTTGCCCAGGCTGGGCGGCAGCCTCAGCACGCCTCCTCTCACCTGGCCTGCAGGTGCATCTGCTCCCTGTGTCCTCCCGGGCTCCGCTCCTCCCAAGGACACCAGCCAGGCGGGTCAGGGCGCGCACACGGCCTCATTTTACCTTAGTCACTTCTCTAATGACCCTGTCTCCAAATACAGGGCAGCTTCAGAAAGCTCATAGAAAGTGTGCACTGTTGCTTTTTTGGGTTCTTTAGATTATTTATGAGATAGAGAGAGAGAGAGAACTCCCATTTACTAGTTCACTCCCCAAATGACTGCAACAGCCAGGATTGGGCTGGCCAAAGGCGGGAGCCACAAACTCAATCCAGGTCTCCCACATGAGTGGCAGGGACACAATTACTTTAGCCATCACCGCTGCCTTCCAGGGTCTGCATTTAGCCTGAGGCTGGAGTTGGGAGCCAGAACTGGGTATTGAACTCCAGCACTCCAGCAGGGGATGCGCAGGTCTTAATCTCAAGGCCAAATGCCCATCCCAGTTTCCAAGCCCCCTCACAGAGCCCTGCGGTACTGGCAGTGGGATGGAAGCCTATGAATTTTGGAGGACACAATTCAGCCCCTAACAGCCCTCTCCACGCTGTCCCACTTGGCACATGCGCATGTCGCTGTAAGATGTGCTCATGGCTCGTGGCTGGTGATGCCCGACCCTGCCTGTCCCAGTTACCTGACAAGAGCAGTTTCCTCCCAGGCACTGGAAGCACTACACTGGTGACCAGGGGCCAGCCCTTAACAGACGCTGCAGTTCAGCTGTGTAGAGGAGGAGGAGGGTGACCAGGGCAGTGTCCAGTACAGAACCCCAAGTCACACGTGCATGTTAAACTTTAATTATTAAAACTACATGAACTAAAAACACAGGGTCAACCACTCATAGTGGCCACTGTATGGACAAGGCAGATAGAGGACATGTACATTATCACAGAAAATTCTAGAACAGCACCCTGGTGCGGACCTTCCCTTTCTGGAGAGGTTTAACTTGGCTTCTCTCTGCAACTGCCGTTCACCTACACAAAGGTATGCAGAAAGTCCTTGGGAAAATGGAATGAAAAGATGTTTGGGGGAGAAAAAATAAAACTGTGGAAATCCATGCTGGTTTTTTGTAATAGGAATTTTCCATCAACTTTTTAAATATTTGTTTGTTTACTTGCTTATTTGAAAAGCAGAGTGGCAGAGAGAAAGGGAGGGACAGAGAGATACCTTCCATCTACTGGTTCACTCCCTAAATGACCAAAAGGCTGGGGCTGGGCCAAGCCAAAGCCAGGAGCTTCGCACTCCATCCGGGTCTCCCACGTGAATGGCAGGGGCCCATGCACTTGGGCCATCCTCTGCTGCCCTCCCAGGCCATTAGCAGGGAGCTGGATTGGAAGTGGAGCAGCTGGGACACATATGGGTTCTCATATGGGATGCAGCAGGCAGCTACTCAACACAGTGCCAGCCTCTCCATCTACTTTTTGAAAACCTCTCCTACGTATGGAGTTCAAGGTGTTTTGAGCCAAAATAGAGTTATACCTTAATTCCATCTTCCACAGACTTTTGGGAGTACCCTCTCTGTGTGCTGCGTCCCCAGCTCCGCTGAGGCCCTGGGTACAGAGCTGGGCTGCGGGCTGTGGGGGGCCCGCGGGCAGTATGTCCAGTATGCAGATAGTCCCTACTGCTGAGTGCACTCCCGAGTGGACGAGCAGCCAGCCGGCCATCTCCAGCCCCCTCTAGCCTTGAGTGCCCGCTGGGCGAGGGGCTGGGGCTGTGTGTCCCTCAGCAGCCACTGTGTGTCTTGCAGAGGATCAGCACAGCCACGGGCGACGGCAAGCACTACTGCTACCCCCACTTCACCTGCGCCGTGGACACGGAGAACATCCGCCGCGTGTTCAACGACTGCCGCGACATCATCCAGCGGATGCACCTCAAGCAGTACGAACTCTTGTGAGACCCCGCCCCGCCCCACCGCGCCGCCCCCTGCTCCCTTCTACCCCACGGGTGGAGCGCCCCTGTGGACTGTGTGTCTGTCGCCCCATGCCACGGTAGGACGTAGTTTTTAGTGTCACCTGGCCACCGTCTGTCCCATCCTGGTACGTCCCGTGTGTGACCGACCACCAAGCCTCCGGCTACCTCTGTGCCCCCTGACGCCAGGTTTGGTTCCGTAGCTTTCTGTTCTCACTGAGCACAGCCTGCCACAGGTTCCCTGTGGCTCACCGGTTTGTGTCACGGCAAATGCCCACTATGACAGGATTGACACTGCAGTGAAATCTCCCTGGGCCGGGGCTCCTTGTACTCACTCCCTCATCCACCGATCAGCAAGGAGAGTTGGTAGACAAGGAGAAAGCACACATGATTGCAAAGTATGTGTACAGTGCTGTGCACCATGACTGTCCCATCACCCTGCGCACACACACACACACACACACACAAGGCTACAGGCTAACAGGTGGCCGGCCCTTCCGATCCACACCATCCAGGACTTAGGGTAGACCCCAAGGGATAGGGTGACAAGAAACCTTTTTCCATCACACTGACAGTGGCTGCCAGCTTCGGGCATTTGAATTAGAGTTACTTGGCAGAAAACCTGATAGAGTTAGCTGGCAGTTACCTGGTGGGCAGAAGATCTACCACACTTCCTCCTGCAAAAATGTGTCCCATCTAAAAATATTTCTCTGTACTTCCACAAAATTTAGGTGTAGTCTCCTTTCCCTTTTCTTTTCTTTTTGTTGCTGGGTTCTTACATTGTACAGACCACAAGATGTAATATTCTTTTGTATCACTACTAAAGAAAAATCCTTGTAGATTTCCGTGCCTTGATTATGGCTAACCCTGTAAAAAGAAACGTGTTCTTGTTGTGCTCCACAGCTAGTGTCAATGTTACCTTTAAAAGGCAATGAATGATAGCTGTAGAATTTAGAGTATTTTTTATCAGGTAGTACTTTATAAAATCCTCCTTCGTAAGAAAATGATAGAAATGGCACGTCCTGCCGCCACACCCTACCGACAACGGTGTGACGACGCCACAAGCTGCTGCAGCCACCTGCTTGCACTTCTCTGCGCTCAGCTGTACACACCTGAACTCGGCTCAAAGGCAAAACTGTCATCTCATCTTCCTTCAGAGAATCAGGGGTCTTCAGCCCTTTCAGACAATGTGTTTCTTGATTGCTTTGCTGGTTCAAGACTTCTTCAGGCCTCCTAGGGGACACAGGGCAGCCATTGCCTTAGTCAGAGCCTGGGGCACAAGCGCCATCAGACAAACATCAGATAGACACATGGGTGTCAATGTGTGCACCTGACCCAGAGGAAGAAGGGCAGTGTCAATGTACACCCAACATACATGGCTGTCCCGCACACATGTAGGATTTGCAAATGCAACCTCAAAAGTTAGGGCACACAGTACAAAACTAGATGCTTCACAGCCTGTCTATAGTCACAGCTTTGACAGTAGTTCCCTTAGGTCTAAAGCAATCCGTAAAGATGTCTGAAGTTAAATTCTCAATACAAATCCAGAAAATCACCCCACTAACTGCCTCTTAAACAGTTTAATACTTTTAAGTGCACTCTGTAAATGAGCATTTCGTGATCCTTTATAAATTCAGACTTAAATGCTGCTTCTCCATGAAAGGATGACAGCTTTACAAGCAGTCAGTACCACGTGTTCTCTTCATCAGTTTTCTTGTTCACAAAGCTCTTCACCGAACTGAGACATAAACATGATTTTTCATTCCCCTATACTTTCAAGGAAAATGAAGATGTATCCACATAAAAAAATGAGGTTACATATTGTTGTTCACATTATTACTTAATTCTCTACACCTCCTACTTAAATGGTTGAGTTTAAAAAATCCAGGTTGCAACTTTCTTGTGATCCCTGAGTCACTGAATTCAGATGTAACAACGCAGCCTCCTGGAGAGAGTTACGCGGCTCTGCAAGTCTGCCTCTGGCTCAGCAGGGAAGTCTGTGAAGACAGGATGTTGCTGCAAGGTGCACCTGTGTAGGGAGGCGGACGCTGGAGAATCACTGCACAGGGGACAGAAGCAAGCCCACTGCTCACGTGCACACATAACCCCGTGTGCGGCAGGGCTGCCAGGGGCCTTCCTGAGGAAGCAAGGACTGTGTTGTGCATGCAAGCTGTGGTGTCAATAGATAGCATTTACGTACTGTACAGAAGCAACTTTGATTATTTTATAGAAATGAGGAAACAGATTTGTTGTAGAGTACATGTTCCATTTTTCTAGCATGAGAATAGTACATTTATCCTGCAGTCACTCACATCAGTGATGTAGGATTTCTAAGACGTGCATAAAGAAGGCCGACACTGGATTCTCGCCGTCCACTGGACTCTTAACGTGAGCTCTGCTGGAAGTTCTGTGTATTTGGCTTTGATGTTGATGGCTAGATGCAAAGATTGCCTGCTTTTCACCTCACCGTGTGCATTCTGATCAGGTGGCGACCAAAAAGAAAACGTGGGGCTAAAAGCTCAAAGTGGGCTAGGAGGAGGACCACGAGGAGGCCAGCTGCTCCACAGTACATGGACAGAACCGTGTCCTCATACGGGAGGTAGCACTTGGAGAGGGCATAATCGGAGGATGTTATGCTGCCCTGGAAAAGAAATTAATGGGAAGGTTATACTGCAGCAAGAACACCAGATACAGCTGGAACAGAGCCCCTTGACTTAGAAACCACAGAGGAAAGGACGCCTCTGGGGGTGGGGTCCCCCGGGTGAGGAGAAGAGGTCCCCTTGCCCGAGACTTTGGGGCCACAGTCTTAAGCCTGCACAAGTCACCACTGACCAACACAGGTGCTCACAAGAGAAGGAGGTCAGGGCTGTGGGTGCCTGGGGCAGCAGGTCTGGAAGGCTGACCTCTCCATTAAAAGTAGCCACTGGCACAGGAGGCTCCCATCTCACAGAGAGGGGACAGAGCTGCAGAGAGGCACCATGCAGGCCAAGGACCAAGGCCAGTGAGGAGTACCAGGCTGCTCCTGTGGCACCTGACTCTGAACCAAGCCATCGGTGTCCTAGAAATGCACGTGCCCAGGCGTCTCCACGGGCCTTGTTCTGCAGACACTTTTGTAGTGTGGGATGTCCGGGGTAGGGCAGTGGGGTGGCGGGGAGGGGGAGTATGTTCTTACTTACTTTGAATCTGAAAACATTAGGGCTTCCCGCCAACACCTCCTTTTATCAAGCACCTGACATTATGACCTGGTACAGAAACCCATAGCTAAAAGAAGGCAGCTGGCAGCTAGCATGTCAGGGCAAGGCTTGTTGAAGAAACATCTTTAACCCATGTGCAAAGGCTGTGGTGCCAGCACTGTCTGCCAGGGCACTGGGCTCACTTGGGAAGGAAGAGAAGACATCGAGATAAGCTAAGGGGTAAATGATCCTGTTTCCTTAGGAAATGAAACACACACCCAGAGGGCGCTGCCCTCCCTAAAGGATAAAAACCTCTTTGCAAGACGCGCCCACCCCTCACTCCCCACCTGCACCTGTGCAGCCCCAGGAACTGTGTATTGTTTATCTGTTCAGGGAGGGGGCGGGGCATCAAATTGTGTAGGGAGTGAAACTTCGTAATGGCTTTTGTATATTTTTACCGAAGGTAGCAATTCAATAGTTGAGTACTGTGTTGATTTCAATACTTATGAAAGCTTTCCAACAAAATAAACTTTCACATTACCATGATGAAGCTGGGGTTGTTTCTGTTCCTCCAGTTGAAAGACGGGACGCTGATCTCCGGGACGCCTCCCTGGTGGAGCACCTCGCAGGCGCTGTGCGTGTGGCCGCTCAGGACCAGGCGTGGCCGGAGCCACCACAGCAGCTGGGCAGCAAGGAGACACAAGGCAGCCATGAACGATCAGACCCCCCTACACACACACACACACACACAGACACACACACACACAGGCGCCACTCCCACTGCCACTGTGAGACAAGGCCACTGGCTGGCACTTGGTTCAGTGAATTAAATACCCAGTCCTCACTAGGTCGCTGTCTTTGTTCCTTCAGATACTTGTTTACATTCAAAGGCAACTTCTGCCTCTTACAGTCTGCTCTTCCCCACATAGGTTTTTAACAATTCTTTACTCATTTTTTATAAAATCATTATACATTTATTTCATAAATATATTCTAGAAGTAAATTTTAGTTTTACTATATATAAATTTAACATATATGAAGGTACTTCAGAAAGTCTATGGGAAATGAAATTAAAAGGTAAGTTTATAGGCGCCGACACTGTGGTGTAGCGGGTCAAGCCGCTGCCTGCAGTGCCGGCATCCCATATGGGCTCCAGTTCTAGTCCCGGCTGCTCCACTTCTGATCTGGCTCTCTGCTGTGGCCTGGGAAAGCAGTGAAAGATGGCCCAGGTCCTTGGGCTCTGTACCCATATGAGGGACCTGGAAGGGGCTCCTGGCTCCTGATTGGCGCAGCCGTTGTGGCCGTCTGGGGGGGTGGGCCCTCTCTCTGCCTCTTCCTCCCTGTGGCTCTGCCTTTCAAATAAATAAATAAATCTAAAATAAAATAAAAGTTTAAGGGGCAGGCGTTTGGCCTCCTGGTTAAGACACCCACATCTCACACCACCATTCCTGGGGTCACTCCCTCACTCGGCTCCTGACTCCAGCTTCCTGACCCTGAGTGGCAGCAATAATGGCTCAAGTAACTGGTTCCTGCCACCCCCGAGGGAGACCTGCCTTGAACTCCCAGCTCCCAGCTCCAGCCTGGCCACTGTAGGCATCTGGGGAGTTTGATACCAAAAAATCTAAAATCTACACATAGCTTTTTCATAATATGCGTTTTTATGGACTTTTTGAATACTCCTTATATGCATGGATTCCAATTTCTTTTGCATCAAACTGATTTTTTTTTTTTCTGACAGGCAGAGTGGACAGTGAGAGAGAGAGACAGAAAGGTCTTCCTTTTGCCGTTGGTTCACCTTCCAATGGGCACCACGGCCGGCGTGCTGCGCTAATCCGAAGCCAGGAGCCAGGTGCTTCTCCTGGTCTCCCGTGTGGGTGCAGGGCCCAAGCACTTGGGCCATCCTCCACTGCACTCCCGGGCCACAGCAGAGAGCTGGCCTGGAAGAGGGGCAACCGGGACAGAATCCGGCGCCCTGACCGGGACTAGAACCCGGTGTGCCGGCGCCACAGGCAGAGGATTAGCCTACTGAGCCACAGCGCCGGCCCAAACTGATTTTTAATTCCATTTTCCATGACCTTTTTGATATAACCTCATATATTACAGAAATAAATAAGAACGTGCAAAAATAAATTTTTAAAAATGCACTTATTTTAACTAAGGCCTTAAAACATGACTCATCTGTATTTCCAAATACATTTTAAGTTTTAAGAAAGCTTTGAGTATGATAACTAACTGAAAGTATGATGAATAGCTGAGAATATATAGCCGACTAGAAATTAGAAAAGGGAACAAAGTGACTAAATGGAAACCTGAGATACTGTCATGACCTTCCCCAGCCTGCAGCTGTTAACTGTAAAAGCCATCTGCGGGCAACCATTCAGCCTGGGGGTTAACGTCCACATCCAGGGACCTGGGTTCAATTCCCGGCCCCAGCTCCTGACGCCAGCTTCCTGCTACTGCAGGCCCTGGGAGGCTGCAGTGACGGCTCAAGTAACTGAGTTCCTGCCACCCACAAGGGAGACCTGGGTTGAGTTCCTAGTCCCTGGCTTGGCCCTGCCGGGGACAGGGACCACTGTGGGCATCTGGGGAATGACACAGCAGATAGAAGCACTGTGTCTCTCAAATAAATACAGATGAAAGGACACCCTCATCTGCCCTAGGGAACACCCCTCCACCCCATGCTGCTTGTGAAGCCACAGGAGGGGAGAGGGAGCCAGGGACCCGCGGTGGCGCCACTGCACAGGGCCATACCTTTTGGGAAGCCTCCTGAGAAAGCACGTCGTACTTCTCCTTAAACGGGATGTCCCTTTCCTCTGGAGGGGCCGCGTCATCCCCAGAACAGTTAGCATCGCTTCTCCGATAGAGTGGATAATGCTGGCGGGGGTTTAAAAAGGAGTCGGGTGGGACTTGGCGGAACCCCGGGGGCTTGGCCTGGGCGTCGCTGCTCCCCTCTCCCCCGCTCACCTGCAGGAGGATGGGGGCGGACGCGGGGAGCGGCTGCCCTGCTGCACAGTGGCTGGCTCCTTGTCCCTGCTGGCGAGAAGTCACCCCGTAATGCGGCACAGCTGACACTCAGCACACGCTAGGGCAGGAAGTGGGAGCAGGAGGCCCCTTGGCGCTCAGAGGTGGCCTACCTGTCGGGAGCAGTTCAGTTTGTGAGAGATGTCCATGAGCTCCTCTTCAGCTTTGGAGCAGATGGTACAGCCGTCCCCTTCCAGCGCCACACTGTTGACCATCACAAAACTGAGGCAGACGGGGGCAGGCAGAAGTCAGGCCACTGCGCTGCACGTGCGTGCCTCTCCCCACGCTCCCCATGCAGAGAAGACTAAGCGTGCACAGTGTGAAGAAACAAACCCACACAGTTTGAAATCCCAATAAGACTAACGCATTTTATGCATCACGGCTAACAAAACAGAAACAGTGCTACTGGGAGTTGAGGCCATGGCATGGGAAAAAGGAGTTTTTAACCTTGACCTTGGGAGAAACCCCATTACAGAAGCTCTGAGGTTAGGCTGCCCCTCAGCTTAGCATCTAACCAGACCATGTGTCCTGGGGCAAGCTGGAACCTCTCCATGCCTCCTCTGAGTGGCCTGGACACCGTAGCTGGGCACAGTGCGGAGTCAATGAAATGAACCAGCAGGTGCACGGAGCAAAGCCATGGAAGCACTCAGTATGCACCCAAACCTGTTCTCTCCCCATGAAGTCAACCACTGGGGGCTTCTGGTGATGGACACTCAGCAAGTAAGGCAGCAGGTGAGGTGCTGGTTAGGGCTAACAGGGTCTGGATAGTCCAAACCGAGGGTGTGACAACACCGGTGACAGTTATCTTCCACAGTCCCTTTACCTGGCTGGGTCTCTCATTGACTGCCACTAGAGATCCTTTTCTGTCCTTGCACCTGGGCACCAGAGGGGCACCTGTCAGTAAAGACTGCGTGAGATGTCACCAGTTTCACAGAAAACGAGCTGAGTCATCAAGTGATCTGGAACACGGTAAGTGTGTCCAAAGTCTGACACGATCTGCTTAGCAGGAAGTAACTAGTATCTTGTGTGCATTATGACTCAGGCTGCAGGAGGGAGAGGCCTCCAGGTTCTTTCCAGAGAGGGTGTGAGCTGGCCACCGAGCCACACAGGTACAGGAAGGAAATGACTAACCGGAGCTCTCGTCCTGCTGCTACAACTAGGATCGGCACACCGTCTGGCCCACCGAAGCTCCAGAGATGGCCAGACCACGGTTAGGATGCTCTGGTCTAAAGGACAGGGATGGCACAGAGCCCTGGGCACACTCCACGCGCTGGCCACCCAGTCCCAGGACGCTGTATCTATGGAAGCCGCCTTTGTAAAGTGGAGTTAGGAGACTTCAAAGCTCCTTCTTTAAAAAGTTGGGCTGAAAAATGTGTGTGCACCCCCCAGAGCCAGAGCAGAGAGAAAGAGCAGGGCTCAGGGCGAGCAGAGGCATCCACAGGCATCATTTAAGGAAAACCAGGGTGCTTTAAGGTCTCCCCTCAACCATCGGCAAGTACAGCCTGAGGGACAGCAGCCCCAGATGATGGGCCAGGCCATGGAAGCAGGCATGGCAGTCACCTTCTAGAACTGAAGTTCCCAAGGACTCAAGGTGGTCATGAAAACTCACAAACAATACTCACTTAACTCCTTTCCAAGAAAACAGCATTTCACAGTTGAAAGCTCTCTCAAACCGTTTTACTTTGTATCTGGTCATCCTATAATCAATTGGAAAAAGAAAGGTTTTTCACTCAAGCTATTTGGGGATTTCAGAGTTATCAGGGACACAGAAAGGACGCATCAGGATCTGAGTGTCACACCAGCAGTACCAGCGGGGGCTCCAGCTCAGCTTGGGGCCAGAAGCAAGTTACTTAATCTCCTGGACTTCAGGTCCCTCACTAGTACCGTTGGTAAAATAATAGGACTGAGGTGTCAGCGTTGTGCCCCAGCACGTTAAGCCAATGTTTGGTGATGTGATGCCAGCATTCCATGTCAGAGAGCCAATTTGAGTCCCAGCTGCTCCGTTTCTGATCCAGCTTCCTGCTAATGCACCTAGAAGACCAGGATGGGGTTCCTAGCTCCTGTTAGCCTGACCCAGACCTGGCTGTTGAGAGCATTTGAGGAATGAGCCAACAGATGAAAGATATCTCTCTCTATAGAGAAAGATAGATAGGTAGATAATCATTGTCATTTTGCCTTTCAAATAAATAAATAAATCTTTTTAAAAAAATACAAGACCTTGGGGCCAGCGCTGTGGCACAGCGGGTTAAAGCCCTGGCCTGAAGCGCCGGCATCTCATATGGGTGCCGGTTCTAGTCCAGGCTGCTCCTCTTCCAATCCAGCTCTCTGCTATGGCCTGGGAAAGCAATGAAAAATGACCCAAGTCCTTGGGACCCTGCACCCGTGTGGGATACCCAGAAGAAGCTCCTGGCTCCTGGCTCCTGGCTTCGGATTGGCTCAGCTCTGGCAATTGCAACCATCTAGGGAGTGCACCAGTGGATGGAAGACCTCTCTGTCTCTACCTCTCTCTGTAACCCTGTCTTTCAAATAAATAAAATAAATTTAAAAAAAAATACAAAACTATGGAAAAGATTAAATGAGTTAATATTTGGAAGTAAATAAGAATGAGCTGGCATGTTATAAGGATTGTAACACTATATACATGTTAGCCATTAAAGTATAAATGGTCTTTTCCAACTCCCCAAGAAAACTTTAGGCCATTAAATATACATTTCAAGTTAGATGCTTCCCAAAGGCATAATTCATTCATCCAGGGACCAGTATTGTGGCACAACTGGTTAAAGTCATTGCCTGTGACACAGGTTTGAGTCCTAGCTTCTCCTTTTTTTTTTTTTTTAAGATTTATTTGAAGGGCATTGTTGCCAAGAGAAAGAGAAAGAGAGAGAGATATCTTCTATCCACTGGTTCACTCCCAAAATGGCCATAACAGCTGGAGCTGGACCAGTCCAAAGCCAGGAGCCAAGAACTTCTGGGTCTCTCATGTTGGTGCAGGGGCCCAAGGACTTGGGCCATCATCGGCTGCTTTTCCAGGCCATTAGCAGGGAACTGGATCAGAAGTGGAGCAGCCAGGTCTCAAATGAGCACCCATATGGGATGCCAGCACTGCAGGCAGTGGCTTTACCTGCTATGCCATAGCAATGGCCCCTGCTCCACTTCTGATCCAGCTCCCTGCTAATGTGCCTAGGAAAGCAGCAGAAGATGGCTCAAGTACCTGGGTCTCTGTACCCACATGGGGAGACCCTGATGGAGTTTCAGGCTCCAGGCTTCTGCCTGGCCCAGCCCCCAGCCATTACAGCCATTTGGGGAGTGAACTAATAAATGGACAATCTCTCTCTGTGTCTCCCCCTCCCCAACCCACCCTGTAACTCTGACGTTAAATAAGTCTTTTTTTAAAAAAGAAATTCACTCATCCAGCAGGAAGTTGTAGAGGGTATATTATGTGCCAACAGTAATGATCCCTAAATTGCTTACATGTCCTTTTGAGGACTCAAAATTTCCTCAGTCCAGCACAAGCAAGGCTTTTGCCTTAAGTTTTCCCAGCAGGTTGAACAGGACAGCTAAGACTGTAGGGAGCGACGCTGGACTGAACCACTTACCTGTAGTGGAAGCCAATGTCATGGTTGCCAGCAACTACCTTCAGCTGCACATGACTTGGGTGTCGGAACATTTTCTGAAAGCGCTCCACATCATCCGCCCAGGCCTGGGGGCAAAAGGGTCACAGCTGAGAGCCAGGAAACCCTCTCTTCCCTGAGACTAACAAACATGATCCGTCATTTGATTTGAGAAGTTAATTCCCTGGTCCAAATCAGATGCTCATGAAGTGAATGCAGAACTCTGAATCTTGATGCAATCCTTATTTTCAGAGACTGCAGTTAAGATTTTAAATTATTTACTCAAATGCCAAATATAATTAAACAGTATCCTCTGCCAATCTTAAAATATTGACTGGCAGTCCCCCCAGTATGTCCCTATCATTCCAGGGCCCCCTGAGGAACATGGACCCCAGGTTGGGAACTGGTTCAGATCTGGATGTAGGAACAGGCCCTTAGGAAATACCAAGTGAGTGCTTCATGTGTTAACCAAGACAAGGGTGAGAACATTCTTCAGACAGCACTCTCCTGTGGCTACAGCAGTGGGAATGAGAACCAATGAGATGTGGGAGAAAGAAAGACAACATTTATTATAATAAATGCTTCATGATTATTCTGACATCTGCTGTTACCATTACAGCTTCATGGTTGTGTTGGCATCATCATTGTTTTTACAAACCTAAAAATATCAATTGGACAACCGCCCTAGGACAGGCAAAAGACCTCTGTTCTGAATAGTAAATTAACTTTACCCTCCAAGTTTCAGCACAAGCTAGGGAAATAAGATTCACTTAAAAAGGTTTCATTTCAATAAATAATATTTAAAGTTAGAACAACAGAAAATCAGAGTAACAAACTTAGAAAATCATAAATCCTTAATTTGCAAAAGCAGTATTTATATCTAACCTCATTTTAAAGCTGGTTGTTAGGGCTGGCCTGTGGCACAGCAGGTTAAGCTGCTACCTGTGACACTAGCATCCCATATGAGTGCCAGTTCAAGTCCTGGCGGCTCCACTACTGATCCAGCTCCCTTCTAATGTGCCTGGGAAGTGCTTGGGCTTCTGCCACCCACATGGGAGACCCAGATGGAGTTCCAGAGTCTTGGCTTCAGCTGGACCCAGCTCTGGCTGTTCCATTGCAGCCACTGGGGGAGTGAACCAGTGGACGGAAGACATTCTCTCTCCCTCTCTCTCTCTCTCTCTCTCAGTATGTGTGTGTGTGTGTGTGTGTATTTATGGTATGTATATATGTATATATATATATATATATTATAGGTATATATATTTATATATATATATAACTCTGCCTTTCAAATAAAACTTCAAAAGTTCATGGAAAATGGAATTAAAAGATAAGTTTATTTAAGGAAAAGCTAGTTGCTTTTTAAATATAGCACTGCCATCATCTTATACTTAAATTTAGTTCTAGGTGTGACTAACATTACAACTCTGTGAAGAGTAGGTTCCTATCATATCTGGACAAAAAACTTCATTTGCACAGCTTTGGAACTGTCCTGAGAAATGCCAATGAAGTTGGGGCCAGCACTGCGGTGCAGGTTAACCTCCGCCAGTTCTAGTCCCAGCTGCTCCTCTCCCAATCCTGCTCTCTGCTGTGGCCTGGGAAAGCAGTGGAAGATGGGCCAAGTGCTTGGATCCCTGCACCCACATGGGAGACCAGAAGAAGCTCCTGGCTCCTGGCTTCGGATCAGCACAGCTCCAGGCTGTAGCGGCCATTTGGGGAGTGAAGCAACAGAAGGAAGATCTTTCTCTCTTGTCTCTCCCTCTCACTGTCTGTAACTCTACCTCTCAAAGAAAAGAAGAGAAGAGAAAAGCCAATGAATTTAAACATCCCTCAAATCAAATCACTTTAAAAAACATTGAGTGAAAGGGCTTTTTTTTTTTTTAAGACTTGTTTATTTATTTGAAAGGCAGAGTTACAGAGAGGCAGAGAGACACAGAGAAAGATCTTCCATCTGCTGGTTCACTCCCCTGATGGCTACAATGGCCAGAGCTGCACTGATCCAAAGCCAGGAGCCAGGAGCTTCTTCTGGGCCTCACACATAGATGCGAGGGCCCAAGGACTTGGGCCATCTTCTACTGTCTTCCCAGGCCATAGCAGATAGCCGGACCGGAAGTGGAGCAGCTAGGACTCGAACCAGTGCCCGTATGGGATGCCAGTACTGCAGGCACAGCGCCAGCTCCAGGGCATTTTTAACTAAGCAGCAAAAATAGCTCTTTTCTCATCCATTCCAGGAAGGGAGTGAGCAGAGCCTGCTGACAGCTCGCATGAGGGCAGCCTTCCTCTTTGCCAGGCTCAGGGGTCTTGGTCCCACTAGGGGCATGGGAGTCTCATATCAAGTCCCCATGGCTCCTTCCACCCCTCTCACTCGGGAGAAAAGAAATTGGAAGAGAGCAAGTGACTTGTGTAGCACCTACACCTACTCTATAATGTGGGTGATGGCTGAAATAGCACCCCCCCGTCTGTTTTCCCTTTCCCAAGAGATTCACAGGCAGGTGCATTCCAGCCAAATGCTGTCTGGTCAATCTACATGTTTCCTACATAGACAAAGACTGGCCAGTCTACTAAGGCATCAGACACAAACCCTAATAATCTTCATGATAGTCTACATGCAGTTAATGGAAGTGCTAAGCAAAACTGCCACCCAATCCAATACCATTTCAGGGGCTCTCTGGCAGCCTGTGAGAATGAGCCCTCAAAACAAGTTTAGCATACCTGGAAGGGCAGAGTCCTACCTGGGGCATGCTCCACTTCCCTTCATCAAAGATGTCCCCTAGAATGAAGACCACTTCCGGCTGCAGCAACCACAGAGCTGTCTGGAAGGCTCTCTCCATTTGCCATTCCCTGGAGGCCAACAGGAGACAACGGGGTGTCAGAAGGGGATTGTCAAGTCTGTTCCTTGGGTAGAGGACATTTAAGAAGTGAACTACATGGTCCCGTTCTTCTTCTACAACCCCATTCTTGCTCCTGCACCTGCTGCTTGGAAGGACCCAGGAGTCTGTATCTGATTCAACATGGAAAAGGAAGGCACCCAAGAAGAATCAAGCTGCCCCCCTACACACCCCTACACCTCTCAAAGGCCAAATTCTGCTACAGGGTGTCCAGAATCGGGCCCCCCACTACACCTAAAGCGATCACTCCACCAAGAGAGCTCCAGGAACCCAAGAGCACTCGATGCAGCTCCAGGGATGCCCACGTGAGCCTGATCCTGCACCACTCCCAGGGAACAATGGTGTCTAGCTTAGGTCTCACCTCCCTTGTTTCAGAGTTAGGAGGAGACAACAAAAGAAACAGACTAGTCAACATCAAAACAGTAAATCCTGTAGATTTCTGGACACCCAGGAAGTCCTCAAAAAATTCACCGGAAATGCATATTATGAAAAAACTATGAATAGGTTTCAAACTTTTTTTTTGCACCAAAATACACTTATCTTTTTATTCCATTTCATCCATGAGCTTTTTGAAGTCTCCCATATAAATAATCACCCGAGAAGTGAGAGAAGCAAACAAAAAGAACCTGGGGTATGCAGCTTGACACATAGTGGCTTCATACCCAATGCCACCTGCTGAGCCACTCACTGGGTGGCCATAGAACACTGCCTACTCTGTCCCAGGTTCTTTGTTAGCAACAGGAAACAGAAAAGCTCCTTCCACAACATGGTTATGAGATTAAATAAAACAGTGGCTGTAAAGTGCCCAGCACTGCACACCTCCCAGCCCTCCCTCCTGCCCTCCTGTCTCCATAACCAACACCCATCTACGTCATTTCCTAAGGACTCCAAGATGGGCCCTCCTTTTGACCACACACTCCTGGCTGTTACATCTAGGGTACAGAAATAGGGGAAGATGGGGCAGCATTGTGGCACAGCAGATTAAGCTGCAATTTGGGGTGCTGGCATCCCATACTGGAGCAGCAGTTCGAGTTCCAGCCACTCTGCTTCCAGTCCAGCTTCCTGCTAACGTGCTTGGGAAGGCAGCAGATGATGGCCCAAGAGCTTGCGCTTTTGCCAGCCATGTGGGAGACCCAGATGAAGTTCCTGGCTCCTGGCGCAGACCTGACTTTTACAGCCATTTGGGAAGTAAACCAGTAGAAGGAAGATCTGTGTGTGTGTGCATGTGGGGTGTGTGTGTGTCTGTGTGTGTCTGTGTGTATGACTCTGCCTTTCAAATAAAGGTTGGGGGAGGGGAGAAAGGGGAAGAAAGGGAGAGGACAAAGAAGAGGAAAACAGGAGGAGGCAAAGGATGGGAGGGAACGGAGGGAGGGATAGAAAGAAGCAGAGAAGGAAGGGAGGAAAGACGAAAAGGAGGGGGAATGTTTTAAAAAGGAAAAAAAAAATGTTCCTAGAAAAACCTTTGTGGTTCCTGTGGGAAAAACAGACATAATGTGCTGGGGCAGACTGGACAGACAGGCCCCAAGCCCTCCTCAGGGAGATGGCCACAGCCTCTGCCTGTCTCCTGTGCCCCGAGGAGACAACACACAAGGCGCTCAGAACTACACAACAGCAAGGCTGAGGGAGTAACCAGTCCAGCTCTTTGTCATCGCCCTGCCTCGTGGTCTTCCCACGGCTGGGGGGCTGCTTGTATCAACCCACATACAAACAAGGAGGTGGCTGCTCAGAGGGGCCCTAGAAGCTCAGCCAAGGTCACAGAGCTAATCAGTGGCCCAAATCTGACTCTTCAATCACAGGGCCCCCTATATGACAATGTTCAGTAAACAGGAAGTTCCAGAAGTCCAATGCCCCAAATGCCCTTCTTGGAAAGGACGTTACACCTGCCCTGTGGGCACAGGCAATATATCAGGATTCTTACCTTCGTAATTTGTCAAACCAGTGGCCAGTTACCTCCCCAAGCAAGTGAGTGTCGGCCAGAAACATGGCCCTCAGCACAGGATCAAGAGTCTGTCGTGCCTGGTCACGGGCTCGAGTTTTCACCTCAGGCCAATTACACCGAAAGATCACCAAGTAATAGACCAAAAACTCACAAAAGAAAAGCACAGCCAAGATAATGGCTGTGAGTTTCAAAAGCAATGAGCTTCTCCTCTTTAAGAGATGAAAAGTCAGTCTTCCAAGTCCCCATCTGATCATGGCCATTTCGAGTCCTCAGCAACCAAGAGTCAAAAGTCCACCAGGAATTCGGTGTGGAAAGCTGTGGCGCTCCGGGGGTGCATGTGGGGTCCAGGTCTCGGCTGTGTACCTACGGGGCAAAGGGAGACAACTGAGTTATGCTCCTCAGTAATTCCAACATCACTGCCTCCTACTATTAAGAACTTAAAGAGCTACAGAACCCTTCCTACATTCCACATGCGGTAGTTGTCTTGTGCTTCTGCAAGGATAACAGACCAAATGACTAATAAGAGAACCAACTAGCCCCTTGGAGGTCTCTGTACCTCCACAGAGAATGACCCCACAGAGACAACCAAGCTCTCCTACACTCCACAAATCATCAGAAGAAAACACTCAGAGGGATGAGTGTTTGGGTGGGAAGACAGTGTGGGAAAATGTGACTAACATGCTAGTCACTGGATGCCCAAAAGGAGTCACCATCACACCTGTATGGCTTTAAACATCCACAGGTTGGGGCGGGCATCTGGGCACAGCCGTTGAGATGCTGCTTTGGGATACCCGCACCCACATCAGAGGGTCTGGGTTCAAGTCCCGGCTCTGCTCTCAATTTCAGGTTCTGCTAATGTGCACTCTGAGAGGCAGCAGGTGCTGACTCAAGTACTTGGGTTCCTGTTACCCACATGGGAAACCTGGATTGAGTTTCAGGCTCCTGGCTTCGGACGGGCCCAGTCCAAGGTGTTGCAAATATTTCAGGAATGAACCAGCAGAGGGATGTCTCTCCCAGACCCCTCCCCTGCCTTTTAAATAACAGGTCAATTAAAATTTTTAATTATATCTTATTTTTATAAAAAACCAAGAGGTTCATAAGCCCAGGGTAATGTGTGGCTCTGGGTGTTTTCATCACTGTTCTCCGCTGCTTTCCCCCAAACCAAGTGAATCTTTGCAGATAATGTGCACTGAAGACCCAAGCGATTCATTCCACACTGGATGCAGGTCAGGAGCTGACGAAGCCACTCTCTACCAGTGTGAATACTGAATGCTGCAACCAGATTAGATGTTTCCAGAAAAATGGGATTTTCTCTGCAAATTAGGGTTGAAACTTGGGATGGCCTGTTTTTTTTTTTTTTTTTTTTTTTTTTTTTTTTTTAATTATTTACTTGAGAAGCAGAGTTACAGAGAGAGGGAGAGACAGAGAGAAAGGTCTTCCACCTGCTGGTTCACTCCCCAAATGGCCGCAACGGCCAGAGCTGGGTCAATACAATGCAGGTACAGGAGCCCAAGCAATTGGACCATCTTCTACTGCTTTCCCAGGCCATAGCAGAGAGCTGGGTCAGAAGTGGGGCAGCCGGGACTTGAACTGGCACCCATATGGGATGCTGGCACTGCAGGCAGAGGCTTAGCCCACTACACCACGGCACCGGCCCTAGGACAGCCTTCTTTTATAGGACATTTCCATGCAGTGACATCTCTATGGAAACTGCTTATGGATTTCTCCTGACTATCAGATGAATGCTGCATCCTATAAGAAAGCACCTATTTTTTAAACACCCGAAGAGAAAAACTGGTAAAAGGCTGCCCTGAGACGGCCTGTGGAAGGTGGAGCTCCACTCACTCTGCTGAGCACAGACTCTACTCACCCGTCTACTCCCCACCCTGGAGGCTACAGACAGTTCAGCTGTCAGACAAGCCTCTGAAGGCTCACAGGGCCGAGGCGGGGGCAGTGACCAGAGACCCTACCAGAGCCAAGAAAGAAAATCCTGTTCAGGGAGATGACTTTCTAACACAAATCCAGGACTTCACATGGTTCATGATCAATCTTGCTTCCTTTTGTTTGTTTGCTCATTTGCTTATTTGTTTGTGTTTGGTTTGGTCTTCGAGAGGCAAAGAGACAGAGAGGAGAGAAACAGCAAGAGACAGGGGGCTCCCATCTAGTGGTTCACTTTCCAGATGCCTACAAAAGCCAGGGATGAGCCAGACCAAAACCAGCAGCCAGAAACACACTCCAAGTGTCCCACGGGGGTGGCAGGGACCCACCTACTTAAGCATCACCTGCTGCCTCCCAGGATCTGCATCAGCAGGAAGCTGGAGGCAGGGACCAGAGCCAGACATCAAACTCAGGTACTCCAGTGTGGGACGTAGGCATCGTAACTGCTAGGCTAAACTCTCGACCTCATTTCTGTAACGTCTAAAATAATCTCTGAAAAATCCAGCCTTCAGAATGGTTGAAATTTACATGGAAAAATTAAGACTAAATCTCAGGCGGCGCCGTGGCTCACTAGGCTAATCCTCTGCCTGCGGCACTGGCACACCAGGTTCTAGACCTGGTCAGGGCGCCAGATTCTGTCCCAGTTGCCCCTCTTCCTGGCCAGCTCTCTGCTGTGGCCAGGGAGTGCAGTGGAGGATGGCCCAAGTTCTTGGGCCCTGCACCCGCATGGGAGACCAGGAGGAAGCACCTGGCTCCTGGCTTTGGATCGGCGCAGCACACCAGTTGTAGTGGCCACTTGTGGGGTGAACCAATGGAAAAAGGAAGACCTTTCTCTTTGTCTCTCTCTAACTCTGCCTGTCAAAAAAAAAAGACTAAATTTCAGTCCCTATCAAAGTGGCTGGCTTACTTCACAGTGGTGTGCCATGATAAGCCCCCACTAAGATAAGGAAACATGAAAACCTTACCCAAATAAAAATAACTAGGGTGAATGAACAAGTGCTTGGAACCATTATGCAAAGTTTAAAACTTAACTGCAGGATTGGAAATACCTTCAGAAACGGATACCTGAGACAAGCTCTCCTTGACTGGCATGGAGCCTTGGTGATTATATGCTATATGTAAGTCCTCACTCCCCTAGCTTTCCAGAAGGAGCTGGAATGACAGATGGTGCAAAACCCACGCCCTGGAGACTGTGCCCATCTTCATCACGCAAATGGCAATAGGTGAACCAGTACTTGGTGAAAGAGGGAGCAGTAAGCAAGCGCTAGGTTTTTGAAGGGTACCCTTTCAGAGACAGGTCCAACCAGCCTTCCATGTAGACTGGAATCAGCTGTCCCCACTGCCCTTGCTGGCATTCTCAGAAAACCCACAGTCTGGGGCAGGCTTTGTGGGGCAGCAGGTGGAGCCACCACCTGAGAGAGCTGCATCCCATAGAGGAATGCTGGTTCGATTCCTGGGTACTCTACGTCCCATCCAGTTTCTTCCTGGTGCACCTGGGAAGGCAGCAGATGATGGCTCAAGTCCGTGGGCCGCTTCTACTCACATGGGAGACACAAATGGATTTCCTGGCTCCTGGCTTCAGCCTGTTTCACCCTAGCCCATATCTGGCTTTTGTGGGCATTTGGGGAGTGAACCAGTAGATGAAAGATTAATATCTCTCTTTTTTTCTCTCTCTGTCTCTCCTCTCTCAATCACTCTGCCTTTCAAATAAATAGATCTTTAAAAGTAAAAAGAAGGGCCAGCGCTGTGGCATAGGGGGTAAAGCTACCACCTGCAGTGCCGGCATCCCATTTGGGCACCAGTTCGAGACCCAGCTGCTCCACTTCCAACCCAGCTCCCTGATGATGTGCCTTGGAAAGCAGCAGAGGATGGCCCAAGTGCTTAGGCCCCTGCACCCACAAGGGAGTCCTGGAAGAAGCTCCTGGCTCCTGGCTTCAGATCAACCCAGCTTCCACTGTTGCGGCCATTTGGGGAGTGAACCAGTGGATGGAAGACCTCTCTCTATCTCTGCCTCTCCTCTCTCCCTCTCTCTCTCTCTCTCTCTCTCTCTCTCTCTCTCCTATGCCTCTCTATAACTCTACTTTTCAAATAAATCTTAAAAAAAAAAGGAAAAATAAAAGTACTCTAAGCAGCAGGCCCCAGACCATCAGTGTCACATGCTAGACTTTATTTTCTTTACCAAGAACTTCCTCCTCACACCTGTCTTCTCTAAAGTCAAACCACACTGCCACGATAATCAGAATCAGCAGCTACTTTACCTTCCAACCAGGGACACCTTTGAGAGTGAAAGTGGCACCAACAGTAAGAGGCCAGGACTGGCCTAGGAGGTCAGCCCTGGAATGTGTGGAGGAGGAGGCAATGCTGCCTGCTGACATGCAGCTTATCACTAATCAAACTCTGTCTTTTTAATTCTTTAACATATTTATTTTATTTTTTTGAAAGGCAAAGATACAGAGAGAGGGAGACAGAATGAGAGATTCCATCCACTGGTTCACTCCCCAAATGCCTACAACAAGCCAGGCCAAAACCAGGAGCCAGAAACTCTCTCTGGGTCTCTCATGTGGATGGCAGAGACTCAACTGCTTGAGCCATCACCTGCTGCCTACCAGGAAGCAGGAGTCAGGAATGGTGCTGGGTCTCTAACCCAGGCACCCTAAGAAGGGACATGGGCATCCTAATCAGTGTCTCGAGCACTGCGCCAACCTTCTGTCCCTGTGATCAAACTTTAGCATGGTCACACAGCTGTCAGTAAACAGGCACCTGAGTGGTTCAGAGCATGGATCGGCTACCTAGCTGACACTCATAAAGACAAAGGAGAGGCAGGTGCTGTGGCGCAGCGGGTTAAGCCACCACTTGGCACACCTGTTTCCCCTATCAGAGCGGCAGTTCCAGTCCTGGCTATTCTGCTGTGATCCAGCTCCTTGGGAAGCAGCAAATGATGGCTCAGGTACATGAATTCCTACCACCCTCATGGGAAACCTGGATGGAGTTCCTGGCTTTCAGAATCAGCCTGACCCAGCCCCAGGTGTACAGGCATTTTTTGAGTGGACCAGCAGCTAGATGATCTTTCTTTCTCTCCCTCTCAAATACATACACAGATACTCTAAGGTATAATGAATATGTTCCTTAAGACTCTCCAATGAGGGGCGGGGAGCATTGTGGTATAGCAAGTTAAACCGCCACCTGTGATGCCAGCATCCCATGTGAGCACCTGTTCCTGTTCCAGCTGCTTCACTTCCCAATCCAGCTCCCTGCTAATGGCCTGAAAAAGCAGCAGAAGATGGCCCAAATGTTTGGGCCCCTGCCATCCACATGGGAGACCCGGATGAAGCTCCTGGTTCCTGGTTTTGGCCTGGCCCAGTGCTGGCCATTGTGGCCATTGTGGCCATCTGGGGAGTGAACCAGGGGATGGTCTCTGCCTCTGC